CTCTCTCTCATCGTATGTGTCTGCATGTCTGTGAGTCTGTGGGTCTGCATGTCTGTCTGCCAATCTACGTCTCTGTCTGCAGGTCTGTCTGCCTGCGTGTCTGCCTGTTTGTCTGCCTGTCTGTCTGCCTGTCTGCCTCTCTTTCTCTGCCCGTGTGTCTGTCTGTTTTCCTAATTTTCCGTCCATCTGCCGGTCTGTAAGGCTGTCTTCCTGTCTATCTATTTTAACGCATGTCTGTCTCTCTGTCTGTTTGAATGCCTATCATCCTGTCAGCCTCTGCCTCTATTTGTCTGCCTTTCTGTCTACCTATCTGTGTACCTGTCTGTCTGTCTGCCCGTCTGCGTGTCTCACTGTCTGCATGTCTGCATTTCTGTCTGTCTGTATATCTGCCTGACTGTCTGTCTCTGCCGGTGTGTCTGTCTGCGAGGCCGTAGGTATTCCTGCCTATCTGTCTACCTGCCTGTCTGTGTATCTCTCTCTCTCTCTTCCTGTGCGTCTGTATGTCTGCGAGTCTGTGGGTCAGCGTGTCTATCTGCATATCTACCTATCTGTCTGTCTGTCTGCCGGTCTGTCTGCTTGTTTGTCTGTCCGTCTGTCTCTCTCTCTCTCTCTCTATCTCTATCTCTATCTCTCTCTCTCTCTCTCTCTCTCTCTGTCTCTCTCTCTCTCTCTCTGTGTGTCTGAGGGGCTGTAGGTATTCCTGCCTATCTGTCTTTCTGTCTGACTGTGTATCTCTCTTTCCCTTCCTGTGTGTCTGTATGTCTGCGAGTCTGTGGGTCTGCGTTTCTATCTGCCTGTCTGGCTTCACCAGTGTGGCGGTCTGCGAGGCTGCAGGTATTCCTGCCTATCTGTCTGCCTGACTGTATGTGTGTCACTCTCGCTTCCTGTGTTTCTGTTTGTCTGTGCGTCTCTCTCTCTCTCTGCTCTCTCTCTCTCTCTCTGTGTGTCTGAGGGGCTGTAGGTATTCCTGCCTATCTGTCTTTCTGTCTGACTGTGTATCTCTCTCTCCCTTCCTGTGTGTCTGTATGTCTGCGAGTCTGTGGGCCTGCGTGTCTATCTGCCTGTCTGGCTCTACCAGTGTGGCGGTCTGTGAGGCTGCAGGTATTCCTGCCTATCTGTCTGCCTGACTGTATGTGTGTCACTCTCTCTTCCTGTGTGTCTGTATGTCTGCGAGTCTGTGCGTCGGCCGGGCCGTTCCGAGTAGTAATGCAGCAGCAGGTCGCCATCCTTTTCCGTGCAACGAAACGAGGGCGCTCGCATGCCCGGATACAGGGTGCCCAAATGGTCGTGCAGTGCATCCAGATTCTGGTTTGTTGTTGTTGTTGTTGTTGTTATTTTTTATATATATTTTCAATGATAATGCAGCAAAAATTCAATTTCATTTTTCATTATGATTAAGGAATGGGGCTCAGATGGATGACGATGACGATGTCGATCAGAATGTGGACGTTGATGGTGCGGTGAAAAGTGTGGAAAATTGAAAATAAATCGAATGTGAGTGCAACAAAAGGCCATGCCAGGCCGCATGGGCACATGGGCTTGTGAGCGTGTCTGTAAGACTGTGCGTGTATGTGTGTGTGTGTGTGTGCGCACTGAAGCAAAATAATGCTTATCAATGCGACTGGATGCGAGCAGCAACTCGATGGCAACATGAAAAATGACTCGGTGCGAAATTGGCATTGGCAAATGCGCTGAGATGCAAGGTGAGGCAAGGTGTGGCGCGGTGAGGGGAGGCCAGCCGAGCTGAGGCTTCGTATGAGATGCTGTGTGATGCATGTGAAATGAGCGTTAAATGCGAAATGTGCTTTAATTAAACATGAGTAAGCAGACGCTTATACAGTCGAACTACGCTATAACGAAACGTGCTTTTTCTACCAATATCTTTTCTTAATTCAAATTAAAGTTTGCAATACCCAAAGCTTATTTGAGCTCTTCACGTCAGCAGCTTTCGTGCTGGCATTGCTAGCTCTTTTAGTTTTAAAAATAATTAACAATATTGAAAATGTTTTGAGCTTAAAAGTTAGCAAAGCTAGCTCGTAAGCTGCCGACGTGAACGTAAGCTTAACGTGACTCAGACGAAACTATCGAAAAGCAAAACTATCGATTGGGGTAGAAATTTATCACTTTACAACACTAGTAGGAGCGTTTTAGTACATTTTGTTTTCAGGAAATTAAAACATGCTCGTTTCTTATAGGCGCGTTCGACTGTAGATCCAGCTATTTGCCACATTTTACCTGTAGAAAGTCACGCGGCGTTGCGCCCAGCACTTGAAGTATTTTATCATAGCCCGAATCCTGACAGAACTCAAAGAATGTCTTGCCAAACAGTTCCAATATGTCATCGGCAGGTATCTCTGTATGGGGATATATATATATATATACATGTGGTGCGTGTTATGGTTCGTGTTTTATGTGGCACAACTACAGTAAAAACCAGTTCAAGTGCTTTGCTTCTCGTCAGCTACTTACTGAGTATCTCAACAGCTGCTCCAATTAGATTGTATGTTATTTCGTCATCGTAAATTTGACGCACCAGAAATTGTCCCTCCATGCTGACCATGGCCTTTTTTCTGCACGTTGTTGTTGTTGTTGTTGGAGGGCCGGTGGAGTGTGCAGGAGGCGGAGATTGCAGCCAGCGTCAACGACAAGCCGAAAGATGAAGAGCGCGAGCAGCAATAAGAAGAACAAGCAGAAGCAGAAAATACATACATTAATTTTAATTAAATTGCCTTTGTGCTCGTATTTATGTGCGGGTGTGGCTGTGTGTGTGAGAGAGTGTGTACTTGTTTATGTGTACTTTGCCCTGAAGCAGCGATAAAGCCAACTGACGCGCATATGGCACTGGCTTTTATAACCGACCCGAAAGCGGTATCCAAAATCTTTAGCCTGCGTTCAGCTTGTTGTAAATGCTGCCTGTTAAATTTAGCAAATTAATATTTCTTTGACAGCATAAATTTAATAAAATATAATACTATTCGAGGTAATCAAACGGGGTTCGAACTGAATCGGCATGCACACTGCATTCTAGGGTTTTTTTTTTCTCTAAAACGGAATTTTCACTCTAATCGGTCAAAAATTATTCCAGCTTTAATCTTAACTAAATCATGTTTTTGTATTTACAATATATTGATTAGAATTAAAGTATTTTACACTGTTTGCCTTTACTTTATATTGAAATGGTCGACCCTACACCTCTTTTCTCGAATGTGGAAATATGTTGGTTGACAAACTGAACCTAAGAACGAAGCTTTAATTCGAACCAGGAACCGAAGGAAGAACAATTTCGTTAAGCTTTTACCCATTATAAAAATATATGTTATTTTTATTAAAGTCTGTTTTCTTACGAAAGCGACTTAACATTAAGATGCTAATCAATTCTTAAGAATTAAAACATTTTAAATAAAAATTTAGGAATTTTTTATATTACAGCTTACAGCTATTTAACATGCTTTAAAACTAAGTATTCCGTGTTATTGTCACCAAAATGAATCTAAGCTCTTAATTGAAAACAGTATTTTTAGCGTCTTTAACATTTCATTAAACATTTTATGTGACATTTTCAATCAAGAAATAAATAATTAAAATAATCTGCAAAACTTTTGTACAATTTCGAGTGTGTTTAAAGCAGCTTTGGTAAATGTTAATTCCCGAGCGAAACTTGAGGCGTATTTGCATTGAATAACAATGCGAAAGAGAGGCAAAAATCAAATGGAATTCCCTTTTGTTGTTGTCGTTTTTTTCTCGATGCGAACATTGTGCAAATCGACTTTATTATTTAATAGAACTTGTGGCAAGCTGTTGCCAAAACAAATTGAATACAACGTGCCAGCCACAGAGCATAGCTGTATAGCAGAAACAACGAAGCAAAAATGGAAAACAGTTGCACATGACTGCACAATACACTGTACTCAGTGTAATTTCTGCTTGAATGAGCCTAATGGAGTCTGCTCAATTATTTGGCGGGGGACTTTTAATCTATAAATCTTACAATCGTGTCTAAAGTGGATTTATATGATTATCCAAGAGCCGACGAATATTGCACAAAACCAATATACTCTGTTTTACGTTGAGAATAGTGTATTAAAAACAGCGAACATCGCAGAAAAGTAACAGAAATCACATGGAAAAAAAGTAATAGAAAAGTAGATATTATACGTGGGAAAGTTTTTCCATTTTCTTGCGCGCTGCCCCCTTTCTACCTGGCCTAACTTTTGATATTCCCGCAGCAGCAGCGCAAAACAGCTGCTGATTTGTGACGAGGGCAGGCCCGGTCTGAGGCAGGGCGACAGCTTGTCAACGAGGGCGTCGGCAACACTTCATTTGTTGCTCATTCGAAATGAATTGTTGTTGCAACACAAGCAGCTGTCAAATTGCAACTGGTGAATCATATCAACAGCTGTCGCAACAATGCAATATAAGCATTTGCGGGGCAGTTAAAATAATGCTCGCACTTTCAGTTCGCTGCGGATCTTCACTTGGCGGTCTACTTGGGCCAACTCGAACATAAAAACTAGACGCGGGTGCTAAAAATTTATTTTTAATTTCCGGTCAACATCGGAGTCGGGGCCACAGCTGCTGCTGCACTTGCAGCTACTCAAAATTCATGGGTATTTCCGCATTCCACGTACCCCAAAAACTGGTAACTGATTTTCCAGCTGCAATTCATTATTCTATGATATATTGCATGTGGTTGTGACTGTGCAAGAAACTGGAAATTAAAATTAGATTTATGCAGGTGTCGTAGTGCAGCGAGTTTTCCTAAACTTTAATGTTTATTTATTTATGCATTTTACAAAGTTGATCTAAGGACTGCTTTAATCCGCACAATAATTTGGCCTTACCGTGATGTCTCGTTAATTAAAACGCTTCGATTTAATATAAAAAAAAAGTGTTGCTAAAATGTTTTTTATTGTGAATTAAGTGGAAATTGAAATAATTCTAAAATATTTCCTTTGCAGCATTTTCGTAGGGTGCACATTACGGTTAAGAAATGCCTCTTTTTTTTTAAAATGGAAAGCTTTCGCAAAAGTCCTATCTTCCGGCTTTTTAAATAGCATGGCGCAAAAAGGACTCTTGCAAGCATTTTCCTTAAACATCTTTAATAAATATTTTTTATTTTTAGGTTAAATGTAACTAGTTGTAACGTTCCTTAGATGTGCTTGTTTTAGAAATAAGAAACCTGCTGAATGCTGCCCCTGGCATAAATTCGCCTCGAGACTTACTTTGTGTGGAGCCTAATTGATTTCTTGGAAGAAATGGCTCGAAGCACGCGCGTTTAAATTGTGAGCCAGAAATTTAAGGCGTATATTAAATTAGGAGCGCACATTTTGGGGCTAGCCCCAAGAGACAATTCACGTGTCTACGCTGCGTATGATTGATTTTCATTTATTTAAATGTGCGTGTGCGCGTGTGTGTGCGTGTGTTTGTGTGTGTGTTTGTTTCACCTTTAGATCGACAACTTAATTGAAAAAGTTAATGTGTGCGTGCGCGTAACAAAGCGACACACAAAGTTGCCCAATTGCACTTTTTTTTATACTTTTGCCACGTTTTTATTATCAAATCAAATTTGCGATAAATGTGTTAAATAAAGAGCAGGTTTTTGTATGTGTTCTGCCAAAAAGTAACATTAATTTTGAACATTTGAGCTAATTTATGCTGTACAAATTAATTACACGCCTCGCAATTTATCACCTTGTTATTTCCAGCTACTCTTGACATTAAGTATACGCCATGTAAGCGGAGCGTAACAAATTCAATACGACATTTAGTAGCTCGGCTGCGCTGGCTTCGCTTGCTGCTTAGCTGCTTGGCTGCTGTCTTTTAGCAGCTTACAAATTCAATTTCCGCTCTGTCGTGGCGCGAGCTTTTCCTAACGCTTTTCGCGCTCATTTGAATAATGTGCGAGTGCGGGTGGGAAGGTTGGCTCCACTAAGTGCTTTAATCTGGAAAATGGCGCTGGCCGGCAAATAATATGCAAACATTTGGCGGCTAAATAGCTGCCAGCCAATGGACTGGGCATAATGTTATGTTGTTTTTGCTGTTGCGGCTGTCGGGAGCTATGCCTGCAGGCTTTGCTAAGTTGCACGTGTATTGGTTGCCAAACAGGCCAACAATTGCCAGTGCACGGCCATTTGGCAATTAGATATTTGCAGTCCGGGCCAGGCTCGAGGTGGCTGGATTTTGTTTTTGACGCGCTTGCGTCTAAATATTATTGTTTAATATGCCACAAGGCAAACACGCACACACACCCACACGTACACCTACGCATACTCACATGACCGCTCAGGGATTTTATGCGACTCGAACACGCAGCTGTGTAATGTATGTGTGCGTGCTTGTGTGTGTATGTGCACACGCTCTCCCTCTCAATTTGATGGCGAGCCACTAAATCGCTTTATTATGAACAACTTGTTGGCTTTTGGCTGCTTCAGCTTTCAACTTTAAGTTGGTTTACAAAGTTTTAGCCCAAGTCTACCGCAATTGATAACAAATCAATTTTCTAATTTGATTCGCCGTTTGTGGCTTTAAACGCCCCTCGCGACGCCAACAAGCAGCCGCAACACCCACCCCATGCACAAATTGAGAATTTTTAATGAGCTTGCGCTGCTTTGTAGATTTAATACTATAATAGCATTAAATTGCGAGTTACTTCCGCCGTCATCCCTACAGTGCCGGGTGGTCTCTGCCAGCTTTGGCTTTGGCTTATGAACTCTGGCCCACGCCCATGACAGTTGCTGAAAACTTGCTCGGCTCTGTCAGCGGTTCAAAACTAGAGGCGCGCGTGTGTGTCATGCGCATCCCTAGACTCACACACTGCCACAGAGAATATAACTAGCGCATTGCTTGGGCACTTAGCGTGCGCCTCCTCTGCACAGCTAAATATAAAATACATTCAGCTTGTCTCTGGCCTACAGCTTGCGTGGGCTTCTTTGGTTTTTTAGTTTTATATGCAGCACGAGCATAAATATTTACAGCCCTATAAAATCCCACAAGTCCTTTAAATTCAAGTCAATTGGTAATTTGCTAAGTTAGCTCCACCAAATAAAAAATTCAAATAGCTAAGGAATCGGGGTTGAATCCGACGAATGGCGTTTAACAATAGTAGAGGTATAAATAATAATGATAATATCAATAATACAAATAAAAATATTGATAATAAATAAATAATAATAATAATAATAATAATTATAATAATAATAATAATAATAATAATAATAATAATAATAATAATAATAATAATAATAATAATAATAATAATAATAATAATAATAATAATAATAATAATAATAATAATAATAATAATAATAATAATAATAATAATAATAATAATAATAATAATAATAATAATAATAATAATAATAATAACAATAATAATAATAATAATAATAATAATAATATTAATAAAAAATAAAAATTAAAATAATAATAATATTGATAATAATAATAAAAGTAATAATAATAATAATAATAATAATAATAATAATAATAAACACATATATTATTATATTAACAGTTTAACAATTGATTGTGGACATTAACGTAATTATACAATACTTTAACGAAATATATC